ATACATACATACATACATACATACATACATACATACATACATACATACATACATACATACATACATACATACAGACATACATACATACATACATACATACATACATACATACATACATACATACATACATACATACATACATACATACATACATACATACATACATACATACATACATACATACATACATACATACATACATACATACATACATACATACATACATACATACATACATACATACATACATACATACATACATACATACATACATACATACATACATGCATGCATACATTACATACAAAACATTTGTATATACAAACATATAATGCATACACACAGTGTATACTAAAATACATTTGCATGTTTTTATATAAATTTGTTTGGTATTTTAAGAACATTCATCATTATGTATGAATAACAATGAAATAACTGTGCTGCTATAACTCACAAATGTATTGTACAATACAGGCGTGAGATATCACGAATGAACGAACGAACGAACGAACGAACGAATGAACGAATAAAAGAATGAACGATTGAATGAATGAACGAACGAATGAATGAATGAATGACAGAATGAAAAAAATGTGATGGCGACACCTTACCATTTGGTTTCTTCAGTACATCATAGAAATGTTTTTAAATTAATGACGAACTGAATAAAAAATTTGAATATCTTTGTCGATATGTTTTTGCTTCTAAGAATTTTACGCAAGGCTATTGCCTTGAAATATGAAATGGATCGGTGGAAATAATAATACAAAATTGATTACATTATTTATGCTGTCGTAATAATAACAACAACAATAATAATAATAAGAATAATAATAATAAGAATAATAATAAAAATAAAAATAATAATAACAATAATAAGAATATGAATAACAATACATTTTTTATTATCGCCTATCATCGTTTTTATCACATCGTGTGCAGTTTACATACATTATGACACCTATACATATATCAAGGCAAACATCCGCACTCGCAGGCACATACATAAACATACACACGCAAGCACACGCACACACACACATACACACACAAACACACAAAAACACACACATACACACAAAAACACACACATACACACACACACATATATATATACAATTATACACACACATACATAGATATTTACGCACACTTTTCCATACACAATATTACGAAATTAATGCAAAGTCATCAAAGCTAACTTAGCTACCATACATACATACATACACACACGCACGCACATATACACACAAGCACACACACAAACACACACACAAACACACACACAAACACACACACAAAGACATTCATGCACGCATTAACCCACACCCGAAATTAATGCAAAGTCATCAGTCAGCAATCAACTCGGCGTGACCGGTGACATATCGACTCGCACTTATCTATATTCTACTAAATTATACTGTCAAATTATTTTTAAAAAATTATAAATTATTATTATTTTTACTGTTTTATTATCATTTATTTGGTTTAGGCATTTTTAAGAAGTTTTCAAATAATCATATAATCGTATCATCATATCATATCTTATATCATATCATATCATATAGTATCATATCATATAGTATCATATAACACCATGGTGTAATGGTAAAAGTGGTAAAAAAATGGTGAATGGTAAACGCCATCGTTCTTCAGTAGTGGAGTTCCATCACAGTCGTCTTGACTTCTTATTAATAATTTGTTTTCTTTATTAATTTTTACGGGAAAATGATAGATTGTATTGTTTTGTAGAAATTTATTTTAATTGTTATAATGCAAACAAATAGTAGACACAAACACACCACACAGACACACACACACACACCACACCACACACGCATCACACAGATACTCGCACACATAAGATTTCAGAAGATTTTCAGATTTCAGATTATAAATACCTATATGTCTGTGTGTGTGTGTGTTTGTCTGCGTGCGTGTGTTGGTGTGTGTGTGTTGGTGTGTGTGTGTGTGCGTGTGCATTACAAGTGTGTGTGTGCGTGCATTACGAGTGTGCGTATGTGAATGTGTAGGTGTGTGTGTGTGCCTGCATGCGAGTATCGTAAATATTTAGTGTGTTTGTTTGTAGGAATTAATTGTCGTCGGCCGGTGGCAGTCAAGATGGATGGACGTTGAATTGAAATACATCTGGGCTGGATTATGTAATTACGTGTGTTGAGTTGAACGCACCAGGCTCAATTTATACCAAAATGCATGTCTCAATCTTGTTTATTGATGTTGTTTGTTTGTGTTGTTGTTGTTTGTCTGTTTGTGTTGTTTGTTCGTTCGTTTATTTGTTTGTTTATTTGCTTGTTTTTAGTTGTCGTTTTTGGCTTGTTTCTCTTGTTGTCATTTGTTTGGTTATTTGTTTTGATTGTTTGTTTCTGCTGTTTTTTGTAGTTGTTGATGTTGTTTGTTGATAAATTCGCTGCCTTCTCTGCGCCACCATGTTTTGGCTTGTTTTTGTTCGTTATAAATGTGTGCCATTTCTGTAAAATACCTAAAAATAAATAGGTCCTATGTTTGTTATCAGCTTCCAAACAAAATTAAGAAGACAGGATGATAATGTAGGTAAAGTGACTTATCTGGAATAGTCACTTTACAAAATTTTGGCGGAGAGTGAATGAAATTAAAAAGTCAAATTGAAACGGAAAGTTTAACTGAATTGTCCTCAAAAGAAATGTGAAATAAACATTTTAGAAAAATTAAATTAGTTATGGTTTAGTAAAATTTTATTAAATTTGTTTGGAATATTGACCAAAATTTAGTACTTAGAACGGAATTCAAATCATAATCAATCATTAAATCATTCCTAATTTATGGTTCATTGCAGAAAATGTGGGATGGAAAAATGAAATTTTCGTTTTGGATTCATATTTTTCTAAAAAATTCGTTAAGGTAGATTCGTCATTGAAAAGTCTGTTTCCTTCTCTCTCTCTTTCTCTCTCTCTCTCTCTCTTTCTTTCTTTTTCCTCTCTCTCTCTCTCTCTCGTTTTATTTCAAATTTTTCTTACATTTTCTCAATCTACTATCTTTACTATCTCTACTATACATACCTACATATGAAAAAATTTTTTAGTTTACAACAGTTGTAACAGTTTATATATTTTTAAAAGTATTTTTCCATGCTCGATATTTATCATGCAAATATAAAATTAATATCAGGATGTAGGGTTGTGTTATGTTTATATTGTGGGAAGAAAGGTGAGGTAAAAAAAATTAATAAACGTTAATATTATTAGTAGCTGCAAACTACCAATATATTTATATATTTTTTTTTATTTATTTACTCATCTGTTTGTTGTCACATATCTCTTTTATCCACTTGTTCGTGAAAATTGTAAATTAATATAAATTAAAACAGTTTAAATCATGTATGTGCATTCTATGTGTGTATATGTGTGCACTGCATACAGTAGCAACATTTTTTATCATGATTTTTTGACGGCTGTAAGGTGAGTAAATTGCTAGTATGAAATTTATTTGACTGTTGAATGTTTTTTTTCCATCCAACTGCCTGTCTGTCTATATGTTTGTTCGTTTGTTTGTCTGTCTGCTGGTGTGTTTGCATGTCGGTTTATTGGTTCGTGTGTAGTAACTGAAACTTCAACACGATCGTCTTTGTTTGACTTTCACTTTCGTGTGCTCATTTCTTTCTGATAACTTTTGTCATACTTAGTGAAGCGATTTTTTCATAGGTTATTTCAGGCATAAATTTTGCTCCAACTTTTATTTTTATAATTTATTTATTTAATTATATAATTAATTAGTGTTTTTCATCAGAATTAAGATAAAATTCTCCATTAACACAGTAACAGCAGAGTTCTGCAACATGGAGATGTTCAACGCATCATGTCCAGCGCGCAACATCCTCTTATTCCATCTCGCCAAGTTGGTCACTCCTAATTTTTATATCAATTCATCCATCAATGCTAGATTCAAAAATGACCCGGTCTCTACTTAGGGCCTAGGGTTTTCATAATAAAAACAGGTCTCCGTAATGATAAAAGGTAAACCCGGCAAACTACCTACTTGTAAAGTTCTTTTTCACTGGTTTTTGTAGGAAATGGAGAAAAATTTTACGTAGTTAGGCCATTTCGTTTAAAATTATGTTTAAAATGGATATAAAAACTATTGCGCAAGTCATGGCAATTTGAAAATTTTTCTTTCTGTTATTTTATTATTATAATATTATTTTTTAAAATTATTATTAATATTATTTTCATTTAAAGTTGTGGTAGCTGTAGTATTAGTAGGAGTAGTAGTAGTAGTAGTAGCGGTAGTAGTAGTAGTGGTAGTAGTAGTAGTACTAGTAGTAGTAGTAGTAGTAGTAGTAGTAGTGGTGGTGGTGGTGGTGGTGGTGGTAGTAGTAGTAGTGATAGTAGTAGTAGTAGTAGTAGTAGTAGTAGTATTAGTAGTAGTGGTGGTGGTGGTGGTAGTAGTAGTAGTAGTAGTAGTCGCACGTGATGATGTTTTGAAATGAGACAATTGATAAATTTTGTTTTATTGTCCAATCACATTTAATTAAACCTTTCAGAAATCTTTTTCCCTTATCGCGAAATATTTTTCATGAATTCAATTTCAATTGAAGCATTTTTTCAAACAATTTTTTCCGAAACATTTGGAAAATTAAAAAAAATTTTATTTTAATTAAAATCTTCATGTATCCATCATTTGGTGTTGTTAAAATGCCAAGAACAATGAAATAACATCGTTTTTTTATTATTTTTTTCTATCTTCATCAACGTTTGCATTGATATTATTATCATATCACGTGAAACATTCTCATTAATCGCTCATTATCAAAAATAAGATTATTGAAGATTTTTCCTAGAATTTATTTATATATGAAAATTTTATAAATAGAAATGGTTTTAAAACTCTTTTTGTTTCGAAAAATATTTAATTGCGTAAATTTGATGATTGTTAAAATTATATTGATTAAACCATTTCTATTGAAATTGTCAAGTTCAACATCCCATTTTGTCATTTTTGAATTTCTTTTTTAAATCATCATCGAAAAATCTTTTTCTCGTCATCTCTCTTTTTTTGTCACTCTCTTTTTTTCTATTGTCACCATCGTAGAAGATCCATGTTTCGCGCTGCCATTACGCAATGGCCTGGTTCGAATACTGTCTGTCCGAAATTCAAAAATCATCATACTGGTATGATGCGGTACTTGCGCGTATTT